ACACACACACACAAAATAACAAATGTGTGGTCAGCCCCACATCACAGTCAGATGTCGCCTTGAATAAAGAGAAAACGTCTGTGTAAAAATACTGTTCTCACCTCTCTCCCCCTTGGTGCATGTTTTCCCATCTTTTTCCAGGAAATAGCCTTTCTCACACTCACACCTGTAGCTCCCCACAGAATTGACGCACATCTGAGAGCACACAGTCCTGTTTTTGTCTGCACATTCATCGATGTCTATATGATGCAGTGACAAAGAGACAAAAAGACAGAAAGCAAATCAAAGAAAGACAATCTAAATTTAATTAACTATGATATACATCAATTAACATGCACATACCCAATAATTTATGAAAACAGAGACACAATTGTCAATTGAGAATGGATTAAAAGTCAAAATAAACCTAAAATTAGTCACGTTGATGCTTTCTAACACTTTCACCTGTTACAAATGTCAGAAGGTAAAGCATCTCCTTGTTTTTAATAAGGAATTTTTGTTACAAGGTCTCACCCAGACAGTAGGGCTTGTCTCTGTTTCTGTGGCGCTCACGGTCATAGCGGTAGCCGGGGTAACAGGTGCACACCACCCGACCAAAATGGTCAGTACACTGTTGCTCACAGGGGGCGCCAGCACACACATCATAGTCTACAGAAATACATGAGGCATTTCATCAGTGTAAACACAAGAAAACACAAGAGGGAATCTCATATCCATCTACAGTATCATTCCCCCCCCACCCCAAGTTAAAACTTCAAGCAACATGCCTGTCATGGATTGTTAAACAAGAGAAAGTAAAGTATGGCAAAGGACTAAAGATCTTATGGGACATGATGGGAGAGAATTCAAAAATCACAAATACACAAGACAGACATCCAAACAGTTTTCCCTACCTTCAGGAATGCACTGGCCCAGCACAAACTTGAAGCCCTTGCAACATTTCTTTCTGTAACACATCAAATGGACATCCAACCAAAAGACTTTAACAATCACATAATAAGTCCCATATAATGTGCATAATGTTTCACATGTAATATTAATAAGGATCTGCAGCATTTGTGGTGATCCAGTGCTTCTGTCTGTTTTTATAATTGTGTATGTTAATGTGGGAAACATGTTTAAGAACATTAATGTGGCCAGACTACACACACACACACACTGACACAGATACTGCTGTCTGCAGCTCTCATTGCGGTGTCTGGCCTTCTATTGCATGTTTGTTCATGTCTGATGACATTCCTCTGAATTATGGCTAAAATCCCCCATCAGGTTGACTATGCTGACTCCTGTTCACTTGTATACTTCTTCTTCCCTTTTCATTTAATTTCTAAAGCTTTCATTCTAATCCAAACATCCACACTTAGATTTTTTTCACTCTTTATCAATGTAGTTTACATCTGTGTTTGTTAGGTGAGACAACTTGATGAGACAATGTGAAGCAACAAACTAATGAGCTTTCCATCAACATCTTCTCTGTTGCGTAATTTCTTCCCTCAACTGTGTTAAGTTGTATTCATACCATCTCCACAATAACATATTGTTCCAATATTTTTTATCAGCACAAGTCACATCATCATGAGGTAATATTCATCCCTCGCTTGCACCCGGCTCCAAGGAAAAGTGCTACCAGGTGTTACTTTAAAACAGGGGGTGATAAAAAAAAATCCAATTACACCATGAAGTCATGGCAATATAGTGCAGTCAAACTTACTTTGATAGTGGTACTGAAAAAAGATTACTCTGTAATACTTTACAGCTTTTATTCAGTGCCAGTTATGATGATAGGGACATTCCTATGGGCCTGCCTGGTAATTTCATATAATGAAAGCTCTCCCTCGTCTGCTCACTAGCGTTTAATTGATTTAATTTGTTTATTTATTTTAAGTAATTGCGAATGATTAATCTGTACTCAACCAGGTCACCCATAGGAAAACAAGACTAAGGGGCAAATTCACCAGAATTCAGAATGGATGCAGCCTCTGATAGCACTATGAATTGTGCATTACTTGCCACCGCTATCTGCCCCCCCCCAACACGCCCATAAAGTTTTGCAGCTGAGTACAATTTGCCCTTGTTTTGTGTCTGTTAAATGTTCATCTGCATTTTTTTTATAGTGGTTCCAGTAATATTTGTTCTAAAGTGCACTTAAGTAGAAGATCACAGGGCATGGGTGTGACACCCCTTATAAATGAGCTTCAGTTACTACCAGCTGTCTGAAGAAGCAAATAAAGTCACTCCAACTGTGTGCGGTTACTGAACGTTAACATGCTGATGTTTAGCAGGTATGATGTTTATTATATTCATTAGTGTGTTAATGTACTAACATAGGCTTATTAGCACTAAACACATCATGAGGCTGATGTGAATGTGTAAAGAAAGTGTCCTGAAGCACTAAACACAGGTATTTGGTCAGAAATCAATGTATTTGCACAAATTTAAAATTTGACCTGATGATGGCGCTAGATGAAAAGTTATTAATGCATCCTGAGGGGAACATATATGTGTTCATGGCAATCCATCCAAAAGTTGTCAAGAAATTTCACTCGAACCTCATGGTGGTGGTAGAGGAAATGTCAGAGGACCAACAAAGTCAGCGGGATTCCTCCTCTGGGGACCACGAATCTCTGTGCAAAATGTAATTGCAATTCATTCAATAGTTGCTGAGATATTTCAGTCTGGACCATAGTGGTGGACTGACAGACTTGTCATCCTCCTAAAACTGTCTGAATTCCAGCTCCTAAACATTACACAACAGGAGAAATAAAGAGATACACATGATACACAAGGAAATCATTTGGGGGAATGTTATGGAAAACTAGCAGACATTGTTATCTGAAGACAGTTAAACTGACAGATATAAGATTCATTTCTAAGATCTTTCTCTTAAATGGCCCATTAGAGACTTGGAAAAGAATGAGGGTATCACAGTAATACATTTTGAAACCAAGAATCTCAGGGTTTCTCATCTTATTACAGTAAGATTTTCCATTTGCTACTTCCAATTCTATTTATGAATGAAATGACCCATCTATAAAAAGGTCACGCTACTTGCAATAACATCATCACAGAAATATAATCCATGGTAAAACAAAGTAAATCACTGACGCTGCACCACTGCAATCTAATGGGTCTACCTTCTACAGTTGACTGCTTTTACAGTCATTTTGATGGGTACAGGATATACAGAGCAGCCAAGTACTTATTCTCTCACACAACTGAATATTTACTACCTGAAGAGGAGCCATAATTAACTTGAGGGACCCACTGAAGAATATTAACCTGCAGCAATCTCATTTCAAGTCTTTGCTGACACTCACCGCCATAGCTCCTGCAGTTGTGGTTGATGTAGAAGAGGAACAGTGACCACTAAGGAGGCCCTCTATGAGGTGAGAGCAAGCCATGTGTAGTGCATTTGTGAGTTTATGCACCTTATTACACTGTGTGTGTGTTGCTGAACAAAACTTCAGAGAAGCAGCACAGTATTATAGTATTTCCATCTTTGGTGAGCAAGATTTTTGTGCTAAAGGAATGAAACGCCTGTCCCATACAGACACCTGTCTCCAATAAAGGCAGGGTGAGTTCAGTGATTTAAGCAAAATAAAAGCCTGGGCTATTATTAGAAGTTTTACGGTAACCTGGGCACTTTAATTTCAAAGCTAGTCTAAGTGGAAGTGGAAGTGTAGAGTGTGTTTGTGTAGATGTGTCTACAGGCACTTTAATTTGTTCTTCTGAAATGAGTAGCTTTCGTTGCTTAGGCTAAAATGTTTCCATTTAATTCATAGCCAAACTAGAGTCTCTGGGTCTTTCTTCAACTTCCTTAACACTGGTAAAAGTCTCTACTGGTCTCAAAAACTTGAACTAGGAACGTAAGCACCCACTCACTCTTCTTGCACCCTAAATTGTTTTATAAATCTAGGATATCTATTATGCATGGAAGTACTGCATGTCTTTAGATGCGATAACTATACAGTAAAATGTACCATTGAATGTTAAACTGTGGAAAGTTGTCGCCGTGTCTGTCTTTTAATGTGTGTAAGTTTATTACATTTCAGCATAAGTTGTGGTGATTTGGGATGGGAGAGGCTATGACTATGAGAGCTGATCTGAGAATGGTTTCCTGTGTGAACCAATATTTCACGTCACAATAACATCCCCAGGAGGACAGAAGGCACTTACAGCAAATAACCAGCTTAGCAAAATAACCACGGTTAGTTGACCAATCATGAGAAAACAAACATCTATGTCCCTCTTCAGAAGATCATGAAACAGGCAACAACATCCCATGGAAACTGGATCCATAACTGTGCTGAAGTTCAATTTTAGTCAACTGTATCTTTATTAAATTACTCAAAGAAATGCTTATTAGCCCTACAATATTCTACTTTATTATACTTTCACTCATTATATCATTAAATAAACTCTACTCTGTCTAAAATCTGAGTGATATTTGGTTACTTTGCAGATTAAAGCACTTTTAAAACACAATTACAGTATTATCTGGCATTTTCCATTCATACAAATTGATTTAATTTAAAATTGTTGATATCTCGTGTTGTCCCTTTGATAACCTTCTATATTTTGACACATGGACATGAAAACAGGCAGACTGGGAGACATCCAGAACCGAGATGGTATGGTATGGCCTGTCTACAAGCTCAAACAACATACATAAACATAAAGAATCTGGGTGAGGGATATGAAGCTTAAGGTCAGTGCACTAACGCAATAAAATTACCTCAAACCAGCTATTCGATTAATAACCTAGGGTGGAAAATATGTCAGGTCTTTGATATGAAAGGTCTCAGGAGATAAACTGCTGATACATGAAAATAACATTCTCATCATATACCATAGGTGTATAGCTATTTGTAAGTATGTGCTTGGAGTTTCCATATACTGAAATGCTGATAGTTGAAAATATACATTCAAACTGTTTTACATTTGTTTTTACTGCCTGGTTTTAAGTTGACATGTTGTGGCAATGGTTAAGGCTGCAATTAGTGATTGCGGTCCAAACACACCTTTCCAGTACGGTAAGTGTTTAAATAGCTTGGGGTAAAATTGTAATGTTTCCCATGGTGAGGGCCAAGTTAACTTTTCAAAAAGTAACTTTTTATAAATGCAAGCCAGACTGCTTAAATCGAAAAAGGATAGAATTCTTTCCAAACAGCTTTGTCTATATTTAAACAACTGTCTGAGTCAATATCTGGCACTGACTCTCAAAAAGCTATTTAGCAGTCCACCTCAGCTCTGCTCACACTATTTGAACAGCAGAAACAGCTCAGATCTAAATCACTCTCCGCAGTGACACACTAGGGGACAGTCAAAGAGCACGATGTGAATGTTTCTTTGTTGTTTTATTATTTAATACAACAACTACCATCCAAAAAAATTAAGTATGGATAATTAGAGATAAAGCCCTTTAGAATATTCAGTACACAAAACAAGACCACGCTGAGGGATGACGCACAGCGCCCTTAGCACCTTTCATAACAACAGCTACGAATACAATCCTATGCAAGCTTGTTAGTTGCTCATGTATTTCATGCAAATGATCAAAGAAATTCAAAACACATGTGGATTTCATTCATATTCATGAGTGAGAGAACAAGGAGGGAAGATATCCCAAAAGCATTCATGACACTTTTTTTTTTACAAGAATATCAATAGGAAGAGTCTGTAGAGTCGCAAAGCCCCACACAATACCAGCTCGCTGACTGACATTTAACTTGAGACAGTGATTCCTGCACTTGTTCAAAGTGAGCGGGACATCACAGACAATCTGACTGTTTTGCCACCTGTTTTTTTCACCTAAAGGTTATTTCATTTTGCCGGTGATACATATCATTTTACAGGGGCCCCTCTAAAATCTAGACATAGATTAGTCTGACCTCAGTTACCCGGGCTGAACCATAAGCACTCTAATTACCTTATAAACAGTGGACC